GAACCCGCGACCCACAGATTGCGAGTCGAGCGCCCTAACCACCTGGCCATGCCGGGGTACATTAAAGAGAGTGTGGGAGTCAGGCGATATTTTGAGGATAAACATCATTTTTCTTCGTTAGTAATAATGTAGTAATTCATCTAAGATCCCACTTGCACCCATTTCACAATATGCATACCAAACTACTGAAAGATAAGCAAGGAAATCCGTGTTGTTATGAACGCCGTACAGATTTCATCTAATAAAGTTCGAATATGCAAGACCAATACTGGAAATGCATAATACAGAAACCAGGTTGTGTTCGTTTTGTATTCCATAAAGGCTATTTTTGCCATACAAGTTTGCACAGAAAATCCTCAGAGAGTTACAAAATTTTACACCGACTTTAGAATTAGAACAGTTACTGAACTGGATATAAACAATCTCGTTCAGTTAGAAGGTGACCTCTACGTAACTGAGTTTTCTAACGTTCCTTTGATAAAAATGATATAAAAATTACAGAATTGAATTAAAGTGGAGTTTTCATTATATCCACCAAATATTTAACTTTAAATCTGGACTTCTAACATACCCGTTAAAATTCTAACAATAAGCTGACGTTGTCAATATATTCATAGGGATTTTAGTCGTAAATTGGAGATGTCAATGTATATTATACAAAAGTTAAAGTTGACATATTTTAGTTATGACAAGACAATTCACTAATGTAATGTCAGTCACCCCTCTTAGTTCGTTTTGATGCAAACCAGACATTTTATGATCTGAAATATAACTAAAATTTCGAAGAGTCTTCTTTTCGTCTTTACAGGTGTCGAATGACACTACATTTCAATATCTTGTTCTGTGGTCACTGCAAACAGTAAAAGTAGTCTGGTACCTACGTTGCGTTCTGGAAACCAGACGTAAGGAACTGCTGTTTCCTTGACATCTCATCTGAAAGAAGTGTTCCAAAAAAATCATTTGAAGAGATGCGACGGTCTCCCAAGAGCATCACATACTTGCTTGATGGAATTGAAGTTCTGACGGCGAGAGTGTTTGCAACTCCAGTGGTTTAATCCCTTAACTTTCACGGAATATGTCGATCAGGTTAACACAATGGGGGCGGACGTAATCATCAATTAAGTTAAAGTCAAGACCGATTGTATCAGCATGTGCTAGCACAAACGGTCGTAGAATGTGATCCATATATCGAGTGGCATTAATAGTACTAGTCTGCAGGATTTACAAGCCAGTAGACTCATAAATACTAATTTTCATCCACACAGAACTTCTACTACTACCATATATGTCACATTCCTGTATGAAAATTGGTGGAATATAATGCCAGATTCTATCCAATTGAGTATAAGCTTGTTATCTGGCTGTAGAGTGAAGCAAAAACTCATCTTTAAAAATAATATTACTCCATTTATCTTTTGTTCAAAGAACTTTTCTTTGGGATCGTTAAACACGAGCTGTTTTGTGTGTAGCTGTGGGTCGAGTATACAGGTTGCAGATCTTGTGAAGTCTGTTTTTAACTGAATTTATAGATTGAAATGGGGCTTGGCCTGACCTGGTGGTTAGCGTGCTCAATTCACAATCTGCTGGTCGCAGAACTGAACATAAGTGAACTTTCAGCCGTGTTATAATATGACAATCAATCCCACTATTCGTTGGTAAAGAGAAGTCTAAGTGTTAGAGGTGGGTAATGTTGGCTTACTGCTTTCCCTCTAATCTATCACTTCTCAAATTAAGGATGGCTAGCGCAGATAACCCTCGAGTAGCGTTTCGCTACAAACAAACAAACATTAAAATGGAGCCCAACTGCGAAGGCGGAATATGATTCAGTCTCGGATTAGGTGCCTTACGATTTATAAGATCTAGAATGGTCATCTTCCTTTGTTGTATATGATGGTCTGCTTTCTAAGGTATCTAGACAACTGTATAACTAGATTGAAAGCAGTTCCACGTTCTGCTAATGACATTTTGAGATACTTATAGCCAATTAGCAGCAGCCTGCTTTGATTAGCCAATTTTCAATTGTTTGATGGCTCTCCACATGAACGAAACATCGAAATGTTTCATGGTTCATGAACAATTAGGAGCACTTTAAACTTCGTGAGCCGCTTCAAAGTGATAACTGAGATAAACTTCTGTGAGCCAATTATACATATAACGTAGGCTAAATGATCAGTTACTTGCATTTCACATCACATGACTAATCATCAAACGTTAGATCTGCATAACAATGTACTGAGTAGAGAGACTGAAAGTCGTTTTGCATTGTAACGTTCATGGCATTATATATTTCAATTATCCTTCAATTCCGTTCATCAATGTTGTAACTACAAATTGTCTTTGTCAATATGTACATCATATTTGTAGGTATTAATTGGGATTGTCAATATATTAATCGGACTTTTAATTACATATTTGTGACTCCTTAAACTTTACAATACTTGTAAGAGCTAGAATTCGAAAATGCCTAGTAAAACCTTTAACTGTTTAGACAGAACAAGTAGACGGGTGACTTTAGATATATAAATTTAGAGAGACATAGAAAATTAGTAATACATGATCTGTTGGTAAAAGTCAGTAATAAAACTTCTTCTTCTTATGTAAGTTCTTAGCATTTTATTTTCTTGAATTCATAAAATTTTGGAAGAAAAATAATTCCCTTCTAATTTAAATTTGACTATTTGTTAATAGTATAAAACTTGAAATAGATAGATGAGTGAATAAGAAGCCAGTGTTGTCTTAAAAAAGCAAATCGTTGGTCCTTATATAGTGATAACCCTTGTTATACCTTTCTGTCATACAAAACTTTAAATTTCTATGCAAAAAAAAACAACAACAACATCCACTAGCTATCAGGGGTTTTGATTGAAATATTATTTACATATTTTTGGATGTTAATTTTATATACAGTCCACAAACCAGAGACAGCAAAAATAATAGTGTTTAAACACTCAAAATATTCTGTAAAACTTGACCAATTAAAGGCGCAGTATGTAAAAAAGTTTAAGAAGATAGTATTCAACTGTCATTTGAATACATTTCCAACCTGCCTAATTCTCAATGGCATAGAAAAGATTTGTTGCGTGTTTCATAAAGTCACCATGATCCATATTCTACTCCTTTGTTATTTAAAACCACTAAAAATAAATTAGTTCTTCAAAAACATTTGCATAAACAATACTAGGAGAACGTCACAGTGACAGTAGAATAATAGGTGTACTTGTTGTGATTATTGGCATGTTAGTAACAAGGGGTTCTTTCGTTTCATGACTTCAACCTTTTGTTTTTGATTATCAGTCACATTTCGGACTGGCAGCAGAGCATTCAGTTTTGTTCTTCTGTGAATACAACTGTCAAACACTTAATATTTCACACCTAGGAATATTCGATGGGCAAACTCGCCATATATATATACACACACACGTAAATTTAAGTCAAAATTCAGAGTGAAAAATATATTTCTTTTCTATTTGTTCCGACTGTTCAGAATATATATGACTTTCAATTGCCAACGTCATTTCTTGGTTACAATAGCATGTTTGTTTGAAGTTAATCACAAAGCTACCCCAGTTTCTAGCGTTGTAAGTCCGCAGATATACCGCTGTTCCACTGGGGGGGGGGGGGCAACAATAGTATGTCAACGTAAAGTAACAGAGAACGGTGAGCTACCGAAACCAAATGTTTAGTTTTTTAACAATTTCAACAAAGTTTAGAACTGTCTAAATGGTAGCAGTGCACTTACTGGTGTAGTAATC